GCAAAAAATATATACACACAGAAAAAAATGCAATAAAAGCATTATCATAAAAGGCTACAATACAAAAAAGATAAACATAATAAATAACAATAGGTATCCTTAGTGTACAAAATACTGTTTACTACAGACCCCTAGCATTCATGACAGATTTTAAAAATAAGAAATGGTTCAGATTATTCTAATTAGTGTTCTATGGGGCATTTTTGAATAATTAACCTCTTATCTGTTGTAAACACATTTTTAAACATTAGCATTAAAAACAATTCAATTTCAACTGAGCTAACAAGCTAATGACTAATCCAAGAAAGGCCAATATTAAAACTGATTCCTGCCATTTTAAAATGACAACTTTTACACCACTGTTAGTTTTCTTTTTATCACACAGTTATTTACATTTGATAATATGTTTATTTGAAAACAGAAACAGCAGAAGCAACTAGCTTGAGCACTTCCAGAGCAGTTTTGGGCGTGTTCTTGACCCCTCTCAAACCAGGTATTAGCTCATTAATATGGAATTACACTCATTTCTCCAAACTGAGGATGTCTAAAAAGTTACCTACAACAGGTATGATATTAACTGTTTATAAACTTAGCACAGAATCCTATATCATAAAATCTGAACTATTTCTTTAAGAGAGATGTGGTAAGAAAATTCCAAATAAGTCACCTTCTCCATGCTCATTTTCTCAGGCATGACGATGATGCAACGGTAGCCTTTTACAGCTGCAGCCAGAGCCAGTCCAATACCTGAGGACACAGGTGTGCCGGTTTTATTTAGCTGCTGCTTTAAAACAATTAACATACCAGGAATTCCGTTAAATGTGTTTGCACACAGGAAGACGTCAGCACTGACACATGCAGTGATTTACCCGTGTTTCCAGAGGTGGGCTCTATAATCGTGTCTCCAGGCTTGAGGATCCCAGCTCTCTCAGCGTCCTCAACCATCCGCAGGCTGATCCGGTCCTTAACACTTCCTCCAGCGTTGAAGAACTCACACTTGGCCACTACACACACAACAACAGCAAATTTATTATTATTATTAAGATTTTTACACACTTAAAAATGATAGCAACCCTGAACTGCCTTCTTTGTTTAATAGAAGTAACAGAAAAACACCTCGCCCATGTTTCCACTCTGTCCCTGCTTTAAGCGTTTATTTTCTGGATCTGTCTCAGCTTGATGGGTGAATGACTCACATATTTCACATTTGAGTCCAAACGCTTTGGGGATCTTGTTGATTCGCACCAAGGGTGTGTCACCGATTCTGTGCAGGATGTTTGGAAGGATGGTAGGAGAGACGTCCCTGGGAGGAACACATGAGATTAAAAAACAAAAACGAGAAGAGAAGAAAGCCTAAACTTCCAGGAAAGTTTATGTTAAGCAGTGAGAGGACACTTGTTTCTGCTTGTCTCACTTGTTAGCATCACATTTAATTTAACACTAATTTATCTAAGTTTAGCTCTGAAGAATATAGAAATCCAAACAGCGCTCTTACCTGGGAATTTGTGCATGAGGGGAGTCGGCATTGGAGGCTCCCATGCTCCATGTGCAGCGGCTGGGGAGGTCCGGTCGGATCCATTTCCTCTCAGGACTTGTGTTCTTTGTGCTGATCTGAATGGTCCTGTTGGAGCCTTCGTGGCTCTCCACCACGGTCACCTTTTCCACTCCGTTGGTTGGGAACGAGCCCTCCTGGAGCTTGGTGTCTCCRTTGTCGTGGCTGTGCAGCTTGGCAGCGTGTGGGCACTTGGGGCTTTTGACGGACGTTTCATTGGATGAAGGAACAGACGGCATGATTTACCCTGTGGAAAAACAGGAAACGGGTTATGTAACTAAAAGATACTTTATCTTGAAGATAAAACACCTCTAGATAAGGATAGACAGGTCTTGTTATTATTCCAACAAAAACAGCCGTTGTCTTYCAGCCTTTTACTTTGATAACATCCTCAGGCCAGCTCAGGCCAACTAGAGCTGCACGATACATTGTTTGAGTGTCGTCATTGCAACATACGTGTGCGCATTAGTCACATAACAGGTTCTGAAGGGTAGGAAGCAACATAAAACCACTAAAACCACAAGTCATTGCACTAAATGGTCACGTTACAGCTTTTATTCTGACGKGTTGCTTCTGCCGGTGGAAGAAGGCGACTTTGTGTCAAAATAAGCTAAAACTTTCATTTTATTGTGAAACTTCTGTGACAATAATGGCAATGTTTTTTGGAAAAATTGTTGTCTGTGAATTCTTAAGCTGTGGAGGAAGATGACGAGGGTCTTGACGAAAATGAGGAAGATGAGAAAATTCACAGAGAACTGGAGGAGAAGAGGGAAAATACAGATTAAAAGCGAGACAGAAACAGAAACTAAAATAGACACAGAGGCAACATGTTTGTGGTAAAAAGCAATTCATGTTTGCACATGATAGAAGGAAACATGTCCCAGCACAATAAAACCAGCAATAAAAGATAACAAGTATAACCCTCAAATACAGACAATAATTATACTAAAACTCACAAAGAGGTAAGATCTGTGCAGCTTCATCGTCAACAGGATGGCAGCAGAACTTAAGGTGTTATTCAAGTCATCTGTTGAAAATTACTGTGTTTTTAATATCACAATTCAAATCACAGGGTTGGACAAAAATCACAGTGTCATTTTTTTTCCAATCATGCAGTTGTAATCTGCACACATGGCCTATTTTTAGACCTTTATAAAGATACAAAGGTTAATTTTAACAAACCATCATACTTATTTTGACAAAAATCAGAGGAAACATTCACGTTGCCGGTAGTTAGTTACATTTGTGATCAACTAGGAATCAAAAATTAACCTAGAGTTAATGCAAATGTTAATTTTAAAAGGAAGAAATATCCAAAACAGGAAAATCCTGTTAATCCTTCAAACTTCTTTTAAGCCTCTGTTAAAGCTGCACTGAGCCCACAAACACAAGGAGTTTCTTCAACGCTCTACAGAAGCACTCAGAAGAAAACTATCTTCCTGTCAATCATATCCAAACCAGCTAACACAAAATGCAGAAACTACTGTGCAACTGTTTGGTGCAGATACACGCATGCCAAAAAGATAGGTCCCAAGCTCAACAAAGCTTGCCCCAACAGTGGGGAACCTTCACCCTACTTTAACAAGCTACTTATACAGACTCTTTGATACGGCTCCACCTGCAATATGAAGAGAAACAATCAGTAAAAGAAAAACAAGGAAACAGGAAAACRACTCACAGCACCTGCTATGTGCTCACACATCTGTCTGGTGTGTTAAAAACCCAGGAAACGTTTTCTAWTATCCACAAGTTTATCGTGGACATAAACACCCAGGACATACAGAATAAACCAACGTAA